GGGAGTGCAGTGCAGATAACTGACAACTCGTTTACACTTATAATTCAAGTGATTATCACTTTTATTAGACGTTTAAAAGTTTTATTCAAATAGTTTGTTCAAGTCATTTATTTGGGTGCTTTTACTTCACGTTTACTAAACGCACAATTATCCTGGTAAGTTATTTAATTTACTCGTTATAGTGAAGTGAGTGTTCATTATGTGTCATATTGTGTGTACAGTATTGGGGTTAATGTGATACACAACGTGTGCTTTATTTAAATTTATTTATAGACAGTATATAAAGTTATATAACACTTATCTATTGCATAGACATGTGAATCATATGTTTGGTATTGCAGTGTATTAAACTTAGCATGCTTACTTTTTTTTGCCAGTTCACTATATGGGGGTTAATAGGTAGGGGGAGTCGCGAGTGATAAGAGTAATGGCCATGGTAATACAAATTCATGTTTGAAATGCATTACAAAAATATTACATTTAATATTAAATAGATTTTTGACGTATTATTCAAAAAACCCAAAAAAGTTTATTAGTTATAGAAATGACATAAAAATGATTTGTTAATTAATTTTATTATTAACGTCTACTCCTTAGCTACCGGTGCCGCAGCAGCAGTGGTGGTAGTGTTGGCGGCAGTGGTGGCGGCGGAGGACTGGAAGCCCAAGAAGTTCTTGACAATCGTATCGCAATTGCGTTGCTCTAAGACCCGGAACAGTTGCGATGTGTCGGCCAACTCGTTGTAGTCGTCGAAAGCCGTGTCCCGTAAGTCATTTTCGGTGTCTATGAGTGTAATCCTCTGCCAATTCGTGGCCCGTATTTGTTGCCAAAACTCATCGCAATTGCTGTCCACTCCCTCCACGCATATGAATCCTTTTAAGACATTACAAGACATACCATTATCTCATTATTCATACCATTAATTATGGTCGAAATAATAATATGTTTACTATATATTCACTCATTAATTATGGTATTCTTAAAGGCATTTAAAACTTTATTTTTCAGTCGATAGAAAGTAAATGTAATTTAAATATTGAATATAAGTAATGAATAATATGTTGACTTATGTAATGAATATTTCATTTTATATTTTTATATAGAATTGTTGACAATATTTATAGTAATATAGTTTATACTGTACTACGAGAAGCAGTACACTATATATGGCGTTCAGTAATTAATTCATAGTCACTAATGTGTTTGCGTTTAAAATAATGAATTTAAATTCAATTTGTGTTCAATTTGTTTCAAGTGTTTGTGTTTTTCACAATTAATTTATAGAGTATTTAGCGTAAAAACTATTGACCTTTCATTTGAATAGACATTGATTTTGCCATTGTATTATCATCACAACAAACAGGGTCCATTAAGTATTGTGTCCTCACAATAGATAAGCTCCTTATATGTTATTTTTTATATCCTAAATAATAACTTATAAAACAATTGACATAAGTTTTTATCATTTCACGCGTCAATGCATTTGTCGCTTGACTTCTCGGCTAGACTTTTGTGTTATTATAAAACATTTAACTGATGTTTTTGTTGGTAAACCAACGTCCGTATAGTCTGTATAGTGTACAGTGCAATGTCTAATAAAGTG